TCTAAAGAGAACCGAGATGAAAATAAGACCAGTGGATTTCTGAACTGTCTATTTTATGGCACAACAGTGATACAGTACCAACTTTAATAAAAAAACATCAGTGTCTCGATCAAGTCTATTCAGCATGTAATAATCACTCTTAAATTGAAGCTTGGCGAAATGTTGTTAGGAATAGTTGATTCTGTAGAATTGGCCAGTTAACCGATAATAATAATAATAATAATAATAATAATAATCATAATCATAATCATAATCATAATAGTAATAATGACTTATCTACATAGCGATACATGAAAAAGCTCCTTATCACAGTTGGAAATTGACAGTTAATCATAAATAGCTCTGAAAAAATGCGTCTTTAATCTTTTCTCAAAAAACTTAAACTAATGGACTCAATTGAATGTTTATGGGTGAGACATTCTATAGCCTGGGGGCAGCGGCTGAAAAGACCCTGTCTCCATAAATTTTAGGTGGGTCTGAGGTACTCACAAGAGTCATCCTCGAACCTCAATGGCTTGTATGATCATGGCCATCACGCTTCCTACGCTCCTACAATCTGGGTTATACAAGTTTTGATTGTTTAAATTTTTGACTCGTATTTTCAGTTGACGGAACACAAAGCTATCACCCAGCATTCATTTTTTCCAAGCCAAGATTAGAAGAGCAAACCCAGTCGCTAATTCAGTTCTAGTTCCCTTTGATTTCTATAACGAAACCCCAAACAATTACCCAATGTTTTGACTCTGAAGAATGCTATCAGGAAAACAAATATTTCAAGCTCTAGTGTACACTGGAATGCGGTAACGTAATGTGGATGATTCTAAAATGCTTTGGACGGTTAAGAATATATGAAAGTCATATATTTGAACTGCGGATAAAGACGTGAATGAAAGTGATCCTCGCAGTGATGTGCACTACTTAGGCAGTAGTGAAAATAAGGCCTGAAAAAAATTCAGGCCTGTACGGGATTTGAACCCATGACCTCTGCGATACCGCTGCGAGGATCACTTTCATTCACGTCTAAAATGCTTTGTTTATTGCTTTTATTTGAATTTTGTTAGCTTTTGTTAGAGTAAATACCCTGCACTGCTATTGATAAACATATTGCACTTTTAATCATAAGAACACATTGTCACGCCAAAGATATGGCTCATCAGGTGATTGTGTTACAAAGTGAGTTTGTAGAAATAACAAATGTAAGGATGAGTAGGTTAAATTTGTTTTGTTCTATTCCCCCGAGCCTCGGAGCCATTTTAGAATTTTGATGTATCGAAAGTGGCCCATTGGATCGCTTGTGATCATTGGTTTGCAGGCTGAAGGAGGACTCCTTACAGCTTTGTTTACTTATAAATGATTAAAATCTATGATACATAAAAGTTTTCGGTTTTTCACAATTTCAATGCGCTGGGGAAACGAAATCAAGAAACCGAAACCGTTCTTTTGCCTCACTCTGCGGCTATGGCGCCCAACTCGTGTAAAGTTTTTAACTTAGACGTTAGTTAGTCCATATCTTTACGTGCACGCCCCAACTACTGAGGAATCTGCAGGTGGGTTTCCATCATTCACTCTCTGAAATTCATGTCTCTGGTGAAAACAACTTGGAATTTGTCAGTGGCAGGCTCAAACGATTCACCTTCGTTTCACCCTTTACACCCTAACATCAGGATGATTATTCCCCATACTGCTCTCGAAACATTTCCTATGCTGATGGCAGGGAGAATTTTTTTACGATCAAGAGCTTCTTCAGCTGGTAGTCATTTCCTTTCTTCTCATGACTTTAATGTTTAATTCAGGGATAATAATGTAAGGAGAAATGAAATGGTTGTCATTCTTAAGTGTCAGCACGGATTCAGTGAAAGCCGCTTGGCGGCGGCGTCTCTTCGCGTATAAGACCTCTTACTACTGTTTGTTTAGCCTACGAGCTGGCTCTTTTGTTTGAGTTTGTTTAAAAACTATCAGATGCCAGTCGTAAAACGTATGGTTGGACGTGATGTAGCAGTATCGTCCAAAATTGGAAGTACTATAACTGGAAGTAGAGTCGTAATAGAGAGCCGGAAGTCAGAACACTTTAAGGACAGGGAAGGTTGAAATGTCGTTCGAACTGGCGGACTACCCATTAAATAAAACTCGTTCTGCGAAGCACAAAAATTCAATGTATTATATGATGAGAACGACGACAAGAAATCTTACCCCAGGTGATAGCACTGGGAAGAATTTGCCACTTATTTGGAAAACAAAATTACGTTATTCTCACATCGAGGAAGTACGATTCAAAGATTGTCTTCACCTTTGACCATAGACTACTGTTCTTTATGTGGCCTCCCCTAGATCCGCCCCCGTGTTATTTTATGTATATTTTTGGGTCATATCGGTCGTTCGTTTTGGTCGTTAGGTTCGTTTTGTTTCGATCGTTTTGCTTTCTCATTTCGGTGGTTTCGCACTTTTCTTTTCGTTTTGCTGTATCATTTCTTCATCCTGGTTGCCTGAGAGAAATGAGGTTTTCAGGTAACACAGTAAAGACGAGAGGTAATGCAGTCCACGATGGAGACAGAGCCTAGAAACTGCTTTCCACTACGTGAATTAACAAATATCAGGGTCACCAGCCCTCACAACACAAAGGTAACTCAGCTGATTGTTGATGAACCAAGGCCACCGAGGTGGATTTGATAAAGCTGCTGTACAACGTAACTTTACTATATGAGCAATTTAAAACTAGAGGACACCACTGCAAGCAAGATTTATTGTCCATAATAGATAATCAGGCCCCAATCGCGCAATTTTGAAATTAAAGCCTTTTTTGTTTTGTTCAGGAACTGCCAAAAAGTATCATGAGCACTAACGGAGGACTGCTCGTGGAAAAATAACGCATGAAATAAAATTGAAAAATAAGAAAGATCTTCGAAAAGAACAGGTAAGTATACAGTTAATATGCGTTAAAATAACTTAAATGATACATTTTGAATGATGCAATGAAAGTTAGTTGAAAAGTACTAAAAAGAAAATTTTTCTTTATCTCATAGAAATATGAGAGAAGAAAAGCTCATGTGAAGGATGAGACTGAGTCCCGTGCCTTTGCAAAGTTTAGTAAAGAGCACATGTCTAGTGACGATGATGACACAGATACTGATGAAGGCGAAGGAGGATGGGTGTCTAGGCCCCCAAAATACAGAAGCAAAACTCTTGAAGCTTTCATAAACAAGTAAGAAGTATACTAAACGCTTAGTTCTTTACTGATATTTCTAATAGCAAAAAAGATGGAAATGATTTTATCCTTAAAAATTGCCAATATTACTGTCCAGTGTTGTCAGACTGTTCCTTGTTATTGGCAATGATGGACTATAAATGTCAGGTAGGCTTTAAAGTCAGTTTATTTGTTAGCCACCCATTAGCGCTTTTTTGCCCGATTTTTTTTAAGGGTTGGATTTACTTCACGGTTTCAATCAAGTCAACGGCATTTTCTAATTATAATATTGTTATTGTCTGAGGCTTGACAAGCGCAGCGAAAAGACAGAAAACGCAACAAACAAAAGGTGGAAACGAACAAAGGCTCGTAAAAGGGAGCCTGTAGAAAGAGAGCCACCCACAGGTTCTCCTAAATGGGCGCTGTCCGATGAATGGAGGGAAATCATGCAAAGGAGAGAGCAGGAACAAACGGAAATGTAAGAATACTGCTTAGCCTTTACATTCCTTATTGGATGCTGTCGCTTTTACTTTTAGTATACCAACTATGAAAGTGAAGCACAGAACAATGTACAAACTATGTAAACCGGTGTAAAAATTCACTCTCTCTATATATTGCATGCTATGAAGAATTTCGTAATATGCTTGTTTCCTTTATACAAGGTTGTTACATTGTTTACCTAACATTTTGTTTCAACAGAGAACTTGAGGATGAAGAGACCACTGACGAAACCAGAGCGGAAGAAAGAGAAGGAGAAGAAAGTGATAATGACAGCTCCTCAGGAAGCGATTGTGATTTTGAGAACGAATAGTTTGTTTTTCTGTGTGGGTGTGTGTGTTAAAGGAATAGTGTAATTGTACATAAATCACAACTTTTAATCATTGTATTATACCTTTTCGTGAATTAGAATTTCAACTTTCATTCTTCGCATTATTATTAGCAATACTATTTTTGAGAAACACAAATGTTAGATTAAGTTTTTTTTTTCATGTATATGTACTGCGAAAAAACAACACTTGACTGAGGAAATACTGAAATGAATTAACAGCTATTTGTAATTGAAGCATGAGATAATTCACGATTTTATGATTCCACCTAGATCACACCTAATCAATGCAAAAATCTTTAACGCTGAACGTACCCCGTAAGAATACTCGAGAATGGTGAATTTTCCCATTAAGATTGCTCAAAAAAGGCTCGTTAAAGCCCCAACAATACGCACACAACTGTCTTCATACAATATTCATGTGTACACTGGTATTTGGCCTGAAATCTCGTCATGAATCTAATGAGAATCCGTATACGTACCTTGAAACAACAGTAGTATCTATATCTCATACTTCCTATAATATACAAGAAGTATTCAGACCTCTGTAAAGACATAAAGATAATTCTTTCACGAGTGTAAGAATCTATACACGAACCTTCTACGGAACATATCAGTACCCTTCCTGCTTCATGCAGTATACATCATATATACGGACTTGTGTAATAATGAATAAGAAATCCTGCAACGACTGTATACGTGCCTTCCACACAACATCAGTATACCTCATAACTCCTTCAGTATACAACATGTATACTGAAACGAGTACTAGCGTATAAGAAATCCTGCTACAAGTGTATATTTACCTATAAAGTTTAAAGGAGACTTACCTTAGTTTAGTAGCAGTGACCTTGAATTCAATGATTACTGCTGCAGATGGTAAACCGTGCTTTGCTGTAGCCTTCATAGGTAGCTTTTGGCTTCGATGACCTGAAAAGTGAATTTTGGTTGAGACTGGACAAGAATCATCGAGTGATCTCAGAAAGTAAGAACATGCTGCGTGTGGATTTGGAAGACTTTGAAGAGAACACAGCTTATGCTGAGTATAACACGTTTGATGTCAAGAGTGAGAATGACAAGTGCAGGCTGATTCGTGATTCCTATTGAGGTATAACGGTATTTTTCGTTTTTACTATTACGGGGAAGGAGAGCGTAAATTAAAGTAAAGAAGCTTCAATTCTTTTACAGCAATAGGTTCCAAAGATGGAAAAAAAATGATAAGCTAAGCCTACCGAAATACAATAATCTTAGACAGCGCAGACTAGACGTTGATTAAATCTCAAAGTGTTCGCCGACGGATCTTGTCCTGTTAGCCCGACGGAACAAATCAAGTGTGATAAATATCTCGGCAAATGATTTGATAAGGGTTATGAGAATTTTAATTTATTATTATTTTTATTACCGTTAATTCCAAGTTTGTTTTTTTTAGGAAACACTAGTTCCTCTCTCCCTCATGATCGGCCAGTCACCACTAGAGATCATGATAATGGTCATCACAGAAACGTTCAAAGGAGCCTGGTGGTACAGCGCGTGTCATGCGTCAAATCTGAATGGATGGTATCGTCACAGCAATCAGTCCTCCTATGCTGATGGTGTAAACTGGAAAGGCTAGAAAGATTATGGATTTCTGAACTGTCATATTTATGTCATAATTGTGATTAAGTACCTACTTAGCAAAAACTAATGACTTGATCAAGCTTGTTCCGCGCTAAAATAAGCATTGATGGGTTTGCCGGCTTAGTGAACATTCGTTGAACTTTCCAAGGCTGTGTAGATTGTTCTCTTTTTGTTTCGATGGGATATTTATCTTGTATATTTTTTGATATTGAGGCATGGATGAATCCCCCTTGCTATACACCTAAAAAATAAAATTTTAGTCTTTGAAAGATTTGTTTTATATTTTCACCAGCTTCACGAAACACTAAACGATTTAGTTAGTACACAGCTGTTATTCTTTCAAGAAGACTTTCAAGAAGAGTAGGGGTCGTCATTATTTATCGCAGGAGGGAGGGATCAAAGGATTTTGAATTTGTCTATCCCCCCCAAAGGCTCTGTAGCTTCGAAGACTTCCCCTCATTTGCAATCAATGTTGTATAATTTCTGCGTATTATATGATTACCTACGATTACGTATCGCTCTGTTATTCATGAATACTAAACGTCACTTAAGTAGACAAAAGGGCTCATATAGTGCATTATGCTACATTACTTCGTTAATATACAAAATGTAAGAATGAGTATATTCGAACAGAAAATAATCCAATGGTATTCTTATTTTGTTTCTCTCAACTCTGTGTTTAAAGATGCAACTATTTGTAGTTAGTTGGACATTACATATTTCGCTTAAACAATTGCTCACGCGCTGGGATTTTTTGATCGTCCAATTACCAAGCTAAGTTATTTGCAATTTTGTGAAAGAGTTTGACGTTCCACGTTTTTCAAAGGCCCCTTGTGCGACGTTCTCTCTTCTTAAGGGCTACATTTCAAAGATAGTTTAGCTTTTACTTATTAGCATATACTAGGTATAATATAATATTTTTGAGAATTTTATTTTACTTCCAGGAAAAATTGAAGGAATTATAGAATATGGCTACAGTGATTTTTATGTGTAAAGTGTTAAAGAGGATACTTTATCAAAAGATGTCTCCTTGCTAATTGGGTTTCATACTAATTTATTTAGATAAAAGATGTGAAAACGTATGAGCAAGAGGAGAGAATTGAGTCTTTTTTCTTAGCTGAGACAACCAATTACTTATATCTTTTATTTGATGAACACAATTTCATTCACCAGAGCAATGGCTCTGTGGATCAACAAATCAAAGCAACACAATCACCTTCATGTAATCCTGGCTCTGCAGGTTACATATTCAACACAGAAGCTCATCCAATTGATATTGGAGAAATTCATTGTTGCTCACCTTTAATACTGACATATATACCTGAAGAATTATTTAGAACTAGAGATATGCTAATAGAAAACTCCCAAGAACTGAATTATGAAAGTAATGAGGATTTGAATGATGAAGAAGATGTGGAGAAGACTTTCACCGCTGCTTACACTTGGAAGAGGTGCTTGCACTTGCTAGAGATTCTCAGTGTTAGGTGCATTTTTTGAAGGAAGTGAAGAGGCACCTTAGTTCATGTCTGGGTTAATCTCCTTTGCAGTGGTTTTGGAATGTCATGCAACACTCAGGGAGCCTCGCGTGACATCTTAAAGAATAGCTGGGAAGAAGACTTTACATAGATTGGCACCACAGTGTAAAGAAAATAATATAAATATTTATTCAGTTGAAAATTAAAGTTCTAAAATATCTATTTTTCTAACATGGTGTAGCAAGAAAATTTTTCAGCTTTAATATTTACAGATTTGAGGGTTTTTCTGGAACCAGCTGGAAAAAAAGGTCCCTTATTAGTCTTTACTTTAATAGCCCATTAAAAAAGCTAAGGAAATCAGAATGGGCATGGGGTAAGTGCAAGGCTCCTGCTCCATTCTCTTGATGTGACAGTCGGGTTGGGTATTAAGGTATTGCCCTTTTATGATATAAAAAATCAGTAAAATAAAGAGTATCCGGCAGGAATTGAAAGTTGAAAATTTCTTTTTCCTCAGTCTGTTTTTAAAATGCTGTTGTTCAATGAGAAAGTAATAAACATCAGTTTAAAAAAAACAAAAAAAAAATTGGCTGACCTGTGAAGTAAAAGTCTTGCAAAATTTTGATGCTTCAATGTTGATAACAAAATATTATTATCAGATGTGGTCACATCTAATGCGAATCACAATTTTTTTGACCGCGTACTGCTAGTCTTATTCAGTTGATGAAGCCCAGACAGTAAACTGGTTTCCTTATGAACCAGAATACTGCAATACTCTTCATCTGGTGTTCTGTTACCAGCCTGCTTCCAAATTCCTCACCTGAACAAGAATTGCTTCATGCAGCTGCTATGTCATGGTTCACGTCGGAAGTGACGTCATTTTATGATAGATTATCAAAACATTTTCTTATTATTATACTTTATTAGAAAATGTTGAAAAAAATAAGCAAGAAAACGGTTTGCTAAAAAGAAATGGATAATTTAGATAGGAAATTTTCAGCTATTAACAGTTATGTGAAGTACACAACTGAATGATTTGAAAAAAAGCCGTAACAATTTTTTATTTCATTATTATTATTTAGAATGTGTTACCAATATATGATTATAAAATCATGACAAACTGCAGTTATTAATAATATAGAGTCAAAATTTATACCAGTAACTCATTATACCAACCGAGTTTCTCTGACCAGTGCTTTACCTACTGATAACGGAAATGAAAGTGTATCTATAGCACTTTAAACAAAAAGTCCTTCTTCAGTGTGCAATAAAAGAAGAAAAAATATACAGTTCAAAAAGGCTGAAAAAAAAACCTCTGCAAAACCTCAAACAAACAAATAGGTGTGTCAATTGGTTGGGGTTTCACCTCCCTTCTGAACATAATATGCAACAACAAGGAAATGATAAAAACCTGCATATTACTTAACATACAAACCAGAGGACTTAATCCTTTAACTCACGGAAGTGATTCACATGTAACTTCTCCCTACAATATCCATTTACTATCCAGCAAACAGGTAATGAGAATATTCAGTTGTATCAGGTAGAAGTTTTTATCTTGATCTAACACCAAATTCTTACAACTAATTTACAAGGAAATGTTAGGCAGCTAGATCAGACCAATGGCGCTGATTGCAGAAATAAAGCCGCACAATATTTCATATTTTGTCACATCCTTCTGCTCAGAGTTGTTACAAACTATTTTTTCTAATTTGAAGTTCTCAATTGCCATCCAAAAGTCATAGAATGCTTGCGACCAGTCTAACTAAGATAAAATCGGGTGATGTTTAATGCTAACTACCATGCTCTCGTCCAAGGAAATATTTAGAGCTACTTGCAAGATTACTTACCAAGAATCTGAAAACCTTTCATAATTATTTTCATTTTTGCACTTTAGTCAACCACACCGTTGATCAAAAATTTAGCAGGGGATTAGAATTAGAATTTCAAATTTTTGTCTGTCTTTGTATGAAGGAGCGTGGGTGGATGTAATTGTACTGCTGTCCACCATTAGATCATTTTTTTTTTAGTTGTTCAAATCAGACTTTTTGAGATACTACCTGTACTAATACCATTAATTACTACTTCTACCACTACTATTTATAATACTTCTACAAGAGAATATCAATAATTTCTTAATTGTACTTCCACGATCAATTTGAAAAACCAATCGAAGGTAAAATTTTGAAAATTCTTCAAATACTTCGATGCAAGCCAACTGCTAAAAAAGCAAAAAAATTCTAGGCAAGCACTATCTTGAACTGAAAATATTAAGGTTTTCTATTGTCAATTCTACTGTGTTTGTGTTTCAACAAAACAAACCAAAACGAAACGACCGCAGAAAATGTAAATTTCACTTCAGACATTCTCTCGCATTTAAGGCTTTTAAATTATTATGGCCGTCTCACGAAACTTTATTTTTTTCTCCACCACGCGAGCAGCTAAAACTAAATTAGACACTTGTATGCAGTTTCAGGACGAAACGCCAGCCAAATTGAATACCAAAACGTAAGGAAAGGAAGAAACAGATAACGGTATTCAATGAAAACATCTATGTACGTAAGTTTTTTAGTGATTTTTTTTTTCAATATGGTTTCCTCGACGCCTCACGCCAAGCTGATGTTAATAGAGAGATAACTGAATTTCCCCGTGAGATAGATTAGGAGTAGACCATAATCTAAACGAGATGAATATGACGACTGACGCCTGACACCCTTGGGCATTCATTTTATTTTTATCAATTTTTTTTGTATTCTATTTTGGTCGTTTCGGTCGTTTCGTTTTGGTCGTTAGGTTCGTTTCGTTTCAATCTTTTTGTTTTGGTCATTTCGGTGGTTTTGCATGTTTCAAGCTGGATTCACCTATAAAGGTTTTCGTTGTGTCTGTCGGGAGAGATTCAGTGGACAAACCTGCCAAGTTGAAGGTGAAATTACGTGGGGCAGTCTCTCGTAGTACGCGAGGAGTTACTCACTCAAGTCCCAAACTTGACTTCAAGAACAAAATATGAACCACTGAAGTGAAGCTAAAAAGGAAAAGCCTATTACTGTAACTTTACATGGATATAGCTGGTAGATATTAAAAAGAAATGAAATATATTAAAGTTCACACGGCAACCAGGTGGACAATCAGACATAGTTTGAAGCTACACTGGTTTGCAGATTTAATGAATGTAACCGAAGAAGTTACAATTCATGGACCCAACGTTTCGACACTCCTGTCTAGTGCCTTCATCAGGGGTGATCTAAACGTTGCAACAAGAGGTCCTTTTATATGATCACTAATTAGCGGCCTTTTTTCTGACGAGGTGTAAATAGGCGTCAGGAAGCAGACCGCCATCGTCACGATTTAAAGGAGCGTGGGCGGAGTTAATGTGCCAAGCCTCCAAACAAAGGCGCTGGTGGTAACGCCGATTAGTAGTGATAATTTTAGAATTATCCCACCCAATTGTATGGTTGGTTAGGCAAGTATGCTCCGATAAAGCTGAATTTTCCTTTTTGCAAAGAAAAACCGCTTTTTGGTGCTCTTTTAACCGTGTACCAAACTGGCGTTTGGTCTGTCCGATGTATTCGTTATCACAGTCATTGCAAGGAATAGAATAAATGGCGTCGGTTCGTTGTTCTTTCGTGACAGGATCCTTAGGTTTGGCGAAAATATGCCCCAAAGTCTGAAAAGGTTTTTGAGCAACTTTAACGTTGTGGCTATTCAAAATTCTCTTGATGGGTTCAGTAACACCCTGTATGTAAGGAATAACAGCAAAACCAGTCGCTGGTTCCCTTTCATCAAGAGCGTTACTATTTGTAACTGGTTTTTGGCAGTTACGGAGAAAAGTTTTTGTATAGCCATTTGCCTTTAGGACATTGGAAACATATTTCCTCTCCTCAGCCTTGGAATCGAGTGATGATGGTAGACAATCCTAAGTAAAGTTTTGGCTACAGACTTTTTATGGCAAATAGGATGGTGAGAATCGAAAGCGAGGTATTTGTCGGTGTGGGTGGGTTTACGATAGACACTTGTCTCTAAATTACCCTGAACCCCTCTAGACACATTTAAATCAAGAAAAAAGGCCGCTAATTAGTGATCATATAAAAGGACCTCTTGTTGCAACGTTTAGATCACCCCTGATGAAGGCACTAGACAGGAGTGTCGAAACGTTGGGTCTATGAATTGTAACTTCTTCGGTTACATTCATTAAATCTGCAAACCAGTGTAGCTTCAAAGAAATGAAATGTTACTAGTTAATGTTCAGAATTAAGTTTTATCAGCCAGAGCAACAGTCAGGAAAGCAATAAAAAAGCACTAAACATCCAAAGCATTTATAGCGTTTTGTTTGTTTCTTTTTTCTGATTTTCAGTCAAAAGAAACTGCGCAGAAATCTACAAGTCCGCAGGTAAACCAACTGACGGTATGTACACCATTAAACCTGATAATTTGCCTGCTTTTGATGTATTTTGTGACCAAGCAACAGCCGGTGGTGGTTGGACAGTGTTCCAGAAAAGACTTAACGGCTCGGTTGATTTCTACCGCTCCTGGAACGACTACAAACATGGCTTTGGTGACCTGAAAAGTGAATTTTGGTTGGGACTGGACAAGATTCAACGGCTGACCTCAGATAATAACAGCATGCTGCGTGTGGACTTAGAGGACTTTGAAGGGAACACTCGATATGCTGAGTATAACTTGTTTGGTGTTATGAGTGAGAAAGACAAGTACAAGCTGCTCCTTGGTTCTTATTCAGGTAGAACTGTCATTTCGTCCCTTCTATTCTAGTCATTCAAAGATGGGGGGGGGGGGGGGGGGGGGAGGAGAGTGCTGAGTAATGTAAATATGGTTAACGTCTTTTACGTCAATAATCTCAGCTCATCGATATGCAATCCTGAATAATGCATTCCGGACGTTGATAAGAACTGTCATTTCGTCGCTTTGTCTCGGCAAACATATTTATAAGCATTATCACGTTTAGTGGTATCATTATCGTTAAATTATACTTATCTGATATTTCAAGATTTCTTTTGAATTACGTACTACTCATTGCTGCATGTTGGTCAAACGTAATACTCATAGTGCGGCTCATTTTGTCAGGAAATTCTAGTGACTCTCTTGCTAGGCAACGCGGTTGGCCGTTCACCACTAAAGATCAAGATAATGACAATGAGGGAGAATACAACTGCGCCATTAAGTTCAAAGGAGCCTGGTGGTACGAGCATTGTCACTACTCAAATCTCAATGGTTTATATCTTCGTGGCCAGCACTCCTCCTTTGCTGATGGAGTGAACTGGTTTCACTGGAAAGGATATCATTACTCTCTAAAGAGAACCGAGATGAAAATAAGACCAGTGGATTTTTGAACTGTCATAATTATGGCACAACAATGATACAGCACCAACTTTAACAAAAGACACCAGTGTCTCGATCAAGTCTATTTAGCATTTAATAATCACTCTTAAATTGGAGCTTAGCGAAATGCTGTTCAGGTTTTTCTTGCTTCTTTGTGCGTGTTTTTTAAAATAGGAATAGCTGATTCTGTAAAATTGGCCAGTTAATCGATGATAATAATAATCATAATAGTAATAATGACTTGATCTATATAACGGTACATGCAAAAAGCTCCTTATCATAGTTGGAAATTGACAGTGAATCATAAGTAGCTCAGAAAAAATGCGTCTTCAATCTTTCTTCAAAAAACAGAAACTGATAGACTCAGTTTAAGGTTTATGGGTGAGACATTCTATAGCCTGGAGGCAGCGGCTGCAAAGACCCTGTCTCCATAAAATATTAGGTGGGTCTGAGGTATTCTCAAGAGTTATGCTCGAATCTCAATGGCTTGTATCATCATGGCCATCACGCCTCCTATGCTCCTACAATCTCGGTTATACAAGTTTTGATTCTTTAAATTTTTTACTCGTCTTTCACTTAACGGAACACAAAGCGATCACACAGCCTTCATTTTTCAAAGTCAATATCAAGAATAAACCTAGTCGCTGATTCAGTTCTAGTTCCCTTTGATTTCTATAACGAAACTCCAAACAATTACCCAATGTTTTGACTCTGAAGAACGCTATCAGAAAAACAAATATTTCAAGTTCTAGTGTACACTGGAATGCAGTAACGTAATGTCGATGATTCTAAATTGCTTCATATATTGCTTTTATTTGTATTTCCTTAGCTTTTGTTAAAGTAAATACCTTGCACTGCTATTGATAAACATATTGCAATTTAAGTACACATTGTCACGCCCAAGGTCCATTTTGTAGATACGGCTCATCAGGTGATTATGTTACAAAGTGAGTTTGTAGAAATAACAAATGTAAGGATGAGTAGGTGAAACATGTTTTGTTTTATTCCCCCTAGCCTCGAAGCCATTTTAGAATTTTAATATATCGAGCCCATTGGATCGCTTGTGATCATTGGTTTGCAGGCTGAAGGAGAACTCCTTACAGCTTTGTTTACGTATAAATGATTAAAATCTATGATACATAAAAGTTTTCGCTTTTTGACAATTTCAATGCGATGGGGAACGTAATCAAGAAACGGAGACCTTTCTTTCAGCTCGTTCTGCGGCTATGGCGTCCAACTCGTGTAAAGTTTTGAATTTAGACGTGAGTTTGTCCACATCTTTAGGTGCACGTCCCAGGTACCGAGGAATCTGCAGATAGGTTTCCACCATCCACGCTCTGAAATTCATGTCTCTGGTGAAAGCAAGAAATTTGTTAGTGGCAGGCTCAAACGATTCACCCCCGTTTCACCCTTTACACCCTAACATCAGGATGCATATTCTCCATACTGCGCTCTATACATTTTCTTAGCTGATGACCGGGAGAATTTGTTTAATGATCAAGAGCTTCTGCAGTTGTTGGTCATTTCTTTTTTTCTCATGACCTTAATGTTTGATTCAGGGGTAACAATGTAAGGAGAAATTAAGTGGTAGTCATTCTTAAGTGTCAGCACTGATTCAATGAAAGCCGATTACCGGCGGTGTCTCTCAGGATGTAAGACCTCTTACCGCCGTCTGTTTAGCCTACGAGCTGGCTCTTGTGTTTGGGTTTGTATAAAATAGGATGCCAGTCGTAAAACGTATGGTCAGACGTGATGTAGGAGTATCATTCGATAATTGAAAGTATAATAACCGGAAGTAGAGTTGTAACAGAGAACCGGAAGTCAGAACACTTTAAGGACAGGTAAGGTTGAAATGTCGTTCGAACTGGCGGGCTCCCCACGCAATAAAACTCGTTCTGAGAAGCACAAAAATTCTACATGGAATATATGATGAGAACGACAAGAAATCTTATCTCAGGCGATGGCACTGAGAAGAACTTCTCACTTATTTGGAAAACAGAATTACCCTATTCTGACGTCGAGGACGTACGATTCAAAGATGGTCCCTACCTTTGACCATAGACTACTGTGCTTTATGTGGCCTCCCCTAGATCCGCCCCCGTGTTATTTTATGTATATTTTTGGGTCATATCGGTCGTTCGTTTTGGTCGCTAGGTTCGTTTTGTTTCGATCGTTTTGCTTTGGTCATTTCGGTGGTTTCGCATGTTTCGTTTCGTTTTGCTGTATCATTTCTTCATCCTGGTTGCCTGAGAGAAAGCCACCAGCTAAAAAAGCAAAAGATTTTAGGCAAACACGATCTTAAACTAGAAATATTTATGTTTTCTATTGTCAATTCTACTGCGTTTGTGTTCCAACAATTATCATTCACATCTAATCATCTGCGGCTTTTTCATAGAATTTGACTTTCCGGCACTTTTCAAAAACCTTGTACTGGATTATCAAAAATATAAAAGACCAAAACCATGAACTGATGAATACCTACAATTGGAACGTATGATTAGGAAGAAAAACTAAAGCGCGTCCGTTCATCGCTTATTAAACATATTTTGTTTTGTAACCATGATTACAGCACTTAAAATAGTTTTATTAACGATGGCACGACACCACTTTTTTAGCGATTGATATTCTCTGGGGTATTTAAGACCCTCACTTTAATCTAATAGAAAAGGAAAGACCCCTTCTACGGTATTTTCGTGGTTTAAATGTTTGGAACAATGACCGTATCCTTTGACGGCCGTTTGAAGATTTTTCCGACGGCAAACATTCTGCTTGTTTTGAGATACAACTAATTAGTAAATAAAACCGTTCGGGGGGCTGATAAATCGGCTGATAATGTCCACGGCTGAGATATCGTCCAAAAATTTTAAAAAATATATGGCTGAGAAGCAAAGCTTCGCGGGAAAATGTGAAGTTTTTATGACAATCTTTCAGCCAAGGACATTATCAGCCGAAATACCAGCGAGCCAGAAAGGGGTTTATCTATTTTAAAACGCACCCTCCTCTTAATTCTCATATCACGCGAGACCGCTTGTAAAAAAACAAGTGCTTATCTGATGCGGATGCGCAGTTGCGACTCGCTTTTTAATATTTTACTAGACTCTACAAAAAGAATGTTTTTTTGTAAAGTAGCCAATATACTGGCGCGAAAATTAATGGTTGATTATAACGTCATAGGCTTGTTTCAAATTTCGCTCGAGACTTTGTCTCACTGTGTTTGGGTTCCTACAATTACTGATTGGTTTTGTAGCTTTGTCCTTGCAGGACTCTTATTGAGGTATTTCAT